AAAGTGGAGAGGCCATGGCTTATGTACTCAAAAATCCAGAATGCTGCATACTGTTTTTGTTGCAAACTCTTCCAGTCTAATGTTCCAGCCACACTGGGTTCTACAGGAACAAAGGTGGAAGATACGGGAATTGCGATAGCTGACCTCAGAGATCAGGGCTACGATACTGGTGCCAACATGAGAGGAAAGAACAGAGGAGTGCAGACATGGATCTGAGAGTTAAACCCCTCAAACTTTTTTTGTCCCATGCAGTTCTCATTCATTGAACTTGGTGGTCAGTGATGGAGCATCAGCTTCTAGTGAGGCTGCTGAATTTTTTAATGTAATTCAAAGCACCTATGTATTTTTATCTGCATCAACTCATCAATGGTAAATTTTGAAGCAAAATCTGGGAACATCCTCTCTGACACTGAAACCACTGACTGCCACAGGATGGGAAAATCGAGTGGAGGCGATAAAGCCTATCAAACACCAAATTGGGAAGATAGATGATGCCATAGTTGCCATTATGGAGGATAATGGTATGACAGGAACTGTTCGTGGGAGAACAATGGCAGAGGGAAATGAAATCACCAGAAACATCCATAACTTAAAATTTCTATGCGGTTTACTGTTTGAAATAAATGTTGTAAGCAAGAAACTCCAAGGTGTTGACCTTGAGATATCTGGAGCAATGGAACAACTGGACAAAGCAAAGTCATACCTACAGTCTTACTGGTCAGATGAGGGATTTCAAAATGTTCTGAAGAGTGCACGGAAGTTGGCAGAGGAACTTCACACTGAAGCTATTTTCCCACCCATTCAAGAATACAAGAGCCACCGAAGAAGACATTTTGATTACGAGGCACGGGATAATCCCATAAGAGACCCCAAAAAACAATTCAAAGTTGAATTCTTTAACCAGGTGCAATACAGTCAGTTGAAGAACGTTTCATGCAGCTCAAGAAACACAGCAGTATATTTGGGATGTTGTATGATATTCCAAAACTCCTCACTATACCTGAAGAAGACGTACACCACCAATTCAGTGCACTAGAGACAGTGTTGACACATGATGACATGTGCAATATTGATGCAAGTGATTTAGGGGATGAACTGAAAGCCCTTTCAAGATACATTTCAGCAGGATCAACTCCAAAGGCTGCTCTGGAATATATGTACACAAATAAGATGACCACCCTCTTTCCAAATGCTTTTGTTGCTCTGCGCATACTTCTAACTCTTCTTGTAACAGTTGCCAGTGGAGAACGCAGCTTCTCCAAGCTGAAGTTACTAAAAACACATCTACGCTCCACAATGACACAAGAGAGGCTGGTCGGCCTTGCAACCATCTCAACAGAGCATGAGCTGGCCCAGACTGTGGACCTTCAGCAGGAAGCAGTTCAAATCTTTGCAACCAAGAAGCCACGGAAAGCACCACTTTGATTATTCAAACAGATAAAAATGTCAGTGTTTACTATGCAGACAAGAAAAGTTACATTTGCTGTTCAGGTGTTTCAAAGTTAAGTGTTACTTAAAATTTTTGAACAAGGCATTTTAAGTTGTTAGTTCTCCTTTATTGGGGTAGGTAGCAGAGCAGTACTATGAGAGAAGTAGGACAGGAAGAAGGCAGAATTGAGACCTTTCAAAGTTTTGGCACAAGTGAGGGGACATATGGGTGTCATTTGAGCTCCCCGCCTCAGGTGACCAAAATGTTGTGGGCTGGCCCTGCCCCTTGCTCAGAGCACCATCCAGCCCAGAGTAATTGGTTTGATTTCAACAGAATTCACAAGTTAGAATGCAGCCAGTGGGCTGTGGACAGACAGATTCCACCCACAAGCAGCATTCTGCAGTTGTAGGGTGGGGTTAGGTTCTTCCTCAAAATGGGGAAGTCTACCCAGCTGCCTGTGCAGCTAGGTAGACTCAGAGCCTAATTCCATCCCTTGCTCCTGAGAATAATACTTAGCAGTGGAGTAGTACTTGACTTCTATGGGATTACCTTTGGTAACAAGAATCTAACACGGTGGTACTCAGATTGAGGCTCGTGAGGTGCAAGTGGCTCTTTAATGTGTCTCCTGCAGCTCTTTTCGACACGATATTAAAATACTGTGTGATTTAAACGATTAACCAGTCTAAGTTAACCAATGAGAATGCTTTTACTATGTTATTAACCAATTGTAGCTCATAAAATAATACTTGGTCAGTCATTTTGCTGTGAGAATAATCTATATCTATATCTATCTATATATACACACAAACACACTAAATATTTCCCATCATGCTGTCTAAATATGAATATATAATACTACAGTAAATGAAACAATGAATTCACACTACTGTGGCTCTTTTGGGTAATGTAGCTCCCGAACCACTGTAATCTGAGTATCACTGATCTATGAGATCGGGCTCAGTCCCACAGAGCTTTCATGGGCCAGCAGCCAGGACTTGGAAACTGGAATTTCCATGGGACAGGCAGGTTAGGAGATACTACTGACACTGAGCCAGATTTTCCACTTAAATCAATTAGAATGGGTAGGGTGTATGTTACTGCAGCATATGGCCCATTGCGTATATGCTGCATGTGAAATTTATGAAGAGTTATAATTTTTTCTTTGAAAACTCAACTAAATGAAACAACTAATCATTCAGCCCAACTCTGTCCCAGCAAATCAACATATTATGAAGGTATGTTATATATTAAAAAAAAGTACCCATGCATGGATAGATAAGAGGGAAATACACATGCAAAAGACATTTACTTCCTGTGGCAAATATATGGCAAAACACTCTATGAAAGGAGAAATGTTAATGAAAATATATGATCAGTGTAGAGTGAAATTTACTTTATATTATAAAGAACATATCTGCTTGGTGGAGACATTTGATGTACTTTATCATAAGTGAATCTGATTGCATCCTGAATCAAATGAATAGAGAAAGTGTGAGACTTTGTGGGCATGTACGTGGGTAGAGGAGAGCAGAGACAACAGGAATGGGGCACAGAGAGAGACAGAGCAGTCATCTCTTATATTAAGGTGAAGGTCCTACTTACAGTTAATAAATTAATAATAGATGTGTTAATACATAATTGAATAATTATTAGAGAGTCCAAAACTGTGCTTACCAGCCATGGCTTATAACCATCTACAATACCTTGTACTAATATGCTTATAATGGTCTAGAAAACAACCTACTCATGTATGTAATGTGCTAACAACATCTACCATTGATTAACCTTGCATATGTAGAATCTTAGTATGAAGTATGATTGCTGTACTTAAGGGTTCTGGGGATCTGCTCCAGTTCCAGCCACTGATGCAACTTTACCCATCAACACTATGGATTTACAATGGTAAAGCTGCAATTTGCACTAGTGGATCTCACCTCTGCCAAACCTTGGGGTAAATATCAACAGTGCAAATAACACTAAGCCACATGAAGGGGGTGTACCAGCGTAGCTATACAGATGGCTGGAATCAGGGGAGATCTATGTGTAGACAAAGTTTTCTTCACAGAGCTGTCGTTGCATTGTGTCAAAAAAAGCTCAGAGTATTCATTTGAATTTAAAAATTTATTTTCTCCTTGGCCTGCACATCTTGTTTTTACTGTCTGCAAGTACTTCAGTAACAAAGTGTTACTCTAATTAATACTTGTGGAAAGGGATTATCAAGCTTGCATGTGTGATCTCTTAGCACTGGACAGGATATTTGTAATGAGATAGGACAGTATTTGACACAGCAGGGGGTGGGAGAGCTGCCTGGCTCCCCCATCACAGTTATGACATATACAAGAGAAATGTTGATATATATTCAAATAGTTAATAATGTGTTAGTATATGGGTAGGGCCTACCAAATTCATGACCATGAAAAATGCATCATGGACTGTGAAATCTGGTCTCCCCCCATGAAATTTGGTCTTTTGTGTTCTTTTACCCTATACTATACAGATTTCACGGGGTAGAACAGTGTTTCTCAAATTGGGGGTCCTGAACCAAAAGGGAGTTGCGGGGAAGGGGGGGGTTGCAAGGTTATTTTAGGGGGTTCATGGTACTGCCACCCTTACTTCTGCACTGCCTTCAGAGTTGGGTGGCCAGAGAATGGCGGCTGCTGACTGAGGTCCCAGCTCTGCAGGCAGCAGCGCAGAAGTAAGGGTGGCAATACCATACCATGCCATACTTACTTCTGTGCTGCTGCTGGTGGCGGCTCTGCCTTCAGAGCTGAGCTCCCAGCCAGCAGCCACCGCCTTCCAGCTGCCCAGCTCTGAAGGCCGAGCCGCCCCCATCAGCAGTGCAGAAGTAAGGAAAGGAGTACCGCAACCCCCCCTACAATAACCTTGTGACCACTCCACAACTCCTTTTTGGGTCAGGATCCCTACAATTACAACACTGTGAAATTTCACATTTAAATAGCTGAAATCATGAAATTTACAATTTTAAAAATCCCATGACTGTGAAATTGACCAAAATGGACTGTGAATTTGGTAGGGTCCTATAAATGGCATTCAAGCACATGTAGCAACTAAAAAGAGAGCTCAGTTTTTAATATAAAGAATCAATTACAGCAAACTCTTTGTGATCAATCCAAAGAGTTAAAAAATGTGAGAAAAAAATATTGTGAGGTAATTTCAACCTACAAATGCATTTGAGGAAATTGCCATGTGAATCAGGACAAACCAACTAAATTTGCTGAGTAAATCACGTGAAGGATATTCATTCAGCTCTAGTTTAAAGCAGATTATGATGCCAAGAAAAATATGTATAAGGGTTTACTCATGTATATTTCGCTGTGGCAATAAGAGGGTTAAAACTCAGATCCTCCTGCTTCAAAAGGCAGGAGGATCCTCCAAAATGAATCTCTGTATCATTGTTACCAGGATAAAAGCTATGGAACACAGGTGAGTAGTTTGGATACTGTGCAGCAGAGGGGTGGTGGTGAAATATACACTAGCCAATTCATTGCAATGTGGTTCTTACATTTTTAAATCCTCTGTAAAGCACTTGAAGTTCCCTCTTTGTGAAATTGGTTTGTGCTTCAAGCTGTTCCAGTCCTTCTGGACGATAGCACACCGTGGTCATTTCTAATTCATCTTCAATTTTATCTAAAAGAAAAGACATGGAAATATTTACTTTGTTTGCTACCTTTGCTATATTGAAGCGATGGACAGGTCAAATAACTGGAATATTGATGTATCTCGAGAACAAAAAGAAGAGAGAAAAACTAACATGGAGTTTCTCTAAAGAACTGGTTTCAATCCTTTAAAAGCAAAATTAAAACTAAAGAGTAGAGCAATACCCCAAATTACTTATTGAGAAGTAAATATTTAGTATTCTGCTCCCAGGCAGAAATTGATGACATGAATAGGAGGACAAGTAGCTAATCAAGTTCCACTAAAGAATGGTGGAAGTTACCTGTTTAAATACCTGCACAATGCAAAGGAGTAATCCTTCTAGGGTGCTAGTCTTAAAGAAGAGCATGCAAGCATCAGTGGTAAGTGACAGGGCAGACATGCTTAAACATATTATACAAAGACATGACATTACACTGAGTGGAAACAGAAAGAAACTCTCTCTCTCTTTTGTACAGTATCAAAAGAGCTTGAAGTGTTAAGGGCATTATGGATCACATTCATTCCAGGTGTAATTCAGGTTAAGTCCAATGGAGCTACATCCAGGAGGAATTTGGCTCTATGCTTACATGGCCTTTTGGAGGAAATAGGTAAGCCATGAAGTGCCCATGTGGATTTGGTGTAAAAGTTTTTTTCTTGCGAAAGTACATAGATTTGGACACATGCATACATCCTTCCACCCAAATCCTCCCATGTGACTTGTAGATTATAGAAATCTCATTTCACTAGTAGTGCCAAAAAAGCATAGATATGAACAGAGGGTTACTGTATGCCAGTCTGAGATTATCAAAAATACTCCTGAAGCCAGATGTGACTATTCATCACAGCTGTCCCAAAAGCCCCAATCCTCCCTAAGCTATGAACCCACACCACCTCTATGGTATAAAGGTCAGTGAGCACTTCCAGTATGAACTCACTTACAGAAAAATGTCATCTATACTAGACCTTCAATGACTGTCGTACACACTTATGGCAAAACTATTCAGTTCATATCCTGTAAAAATCAGTTGGGTTACTATGTGAATTATGGTTGATTCCTGCTCAAATGCACAGGGAAAGATAAACTAATTGTCAAGTATGAGTTTGAGAAGGAAAATTCTCCTGGTCTACATTGGAGCTTTGAGCAGAGATCAGCCCTTTAAACCTTGCTGGTTAATCCTACGTGTTAGATTCCTTGTGAATTTAAACTGGCCTCAGAGCATGGGGGAATCTTTCCACCCTCTATGTCTGTGATCTTCAGAAGTCAGAATCTGTGGATGCTGAATTTTAAAGTATTCAAATCCAGGTCCAAATTTTGGAGTGTGGGCCCATCTCCAGTCTAAGCTATCAACAGATCACTACCGAAAATGCACAGTAGGGGTGATCCAATGCTTTTAACTATGCTTTTTCATGGCTTTCCCACTATAATAGTATGTACACATAGTTTTAATGGCTGGGTTAATGGCATCTATGGAAAAGATCAAGTAAGCTTTGACTATTTGTTTTTAACTTAATCTCCTCTTGGACCATGAGTTTTACTGGCATTATCGGGCGTGATGGCAATTTGCATAGACATACCCAAGCTAGCTTTAATCTAGCGAGCTCATGTCATGGAATAGAGACGCTGCAGTGGCACACACTTCAGTGCGAGCTAGCCCCATGAGTAATTACCCAAGGTTCTGCAGAGGCATGTGTAGCCGCCGCTAAATACATACTGCCACAGCTTCACTGCTCTGGGACCCAAACTAGTGAGATTAAAGCTAGCACAGTATGTCTACCTGAGCTGCAATCACACCCTGTGATTCTAGTCGAGACATACACATACTCCTAGTCAATAAAAACAGAGCAATAAGGAATAGGCTTAAGGTACAGAAGAGAAAATTTAGCCTAAACATTGGTATATGTATAACTCTTCAAACAGCTCAGTAGTGGAACGAACTGATATGGGGAGTTTTTAAATGCTATCAGACTTGACACTCACCCACGCATCAGCAATAATAAAATCAGTCCTGCCAAAATGAGGGGGCATGGACTTGAATGAACTTTGAAAAGCCATATCAAAGAGACTGTGCATTTTGATACAGGAAGCACTACAAGACTCTTACTAGTTATTTCTACAGGTCACTAGATGCCACAACCTAGAATATTCTTATTCCTGACTGGAAAAGAGGAATTTGAATCTCTACTGTGTTTTCCTCTTTCCCTCTTTTTCCATTAACTGAGTATTCACGCTGCATAGATCTAGTAATCAAGCCCAATCTGAAAACTGACAATCACATCACCAGTCCATGTCATTATGAAATATGTATAATCAAAAGTCAAGTACTTCTCCCTCACCCCCCCCAAACACACACAGCACCTCCACAATGTGTGTTCAGCAGAAGAAATTTCAGGCTGGTCACCAGTATGCTTCGAAATATGATAATCATTTTTTGGGATTGTGTAGATTAATTAAGATGAATGCCACTGCACACAGTTACAAAATTTGTCTAATGGGGATTTTTAGCACTCAACTTCAGATAATTTTAATTGTAACACTACAGCAGAGGGAAACATCTTGTCAAAGGGATCCTCAGTGACTGACAGGGAGTAAAGGCAAAGGGAATCAGTTATAAGGTTAGTTAGATTGAGAACAGCATATTTGATTAGTGATCTAGAAAAATGAGAGGCAGTAGCAGAAAGGAAACTGTGAGGAGAGAGCAATGGTCTGCAGAAGTGGATGAAATAGTGAAGGGGAAAGAGAGGTTGGGACCATCAGCAGAGGAAAACAGAATCCTGGAAAGGAGAAGAACGAAGAGACACCACTAAAGACGACGGAGAGGAGAGAGTCTGGAAGAAAGAGATACTGTTAGAAGGAAGAGTAGGGGGCTGGAGAAGAAAGTAAAAAAGAAGGGACTGTGAGATGAGGAGAAAGACAGGGTCTTTGAAAAAAGGATGGGTGGGGAGGAAGATGTCCTAAGATGAAAGGGTGGAATATGGGGGAGGAAGGAGGGAGCGGAAAAAAGGAGTGTAGTGGAGAAAAAGGTCTTAGAGAGGGAAGGAGAATGTAAATGGGAAACAGAAAGAAAGAGAATATCAGTCATCAATGGATCCAACCTAGGGAGACCCACCTGTAGTCTGAACATGATTTCTCATAAGTAAAAGGTATAATTTGCCTTGAAATAAATTAATTAAAACCTTTACATTTTCAATCTGCCCAAACATTTCCAGGTTCTCTTCTGCTCAGTACAATCAACCAGCTTGTACCTGTCACAGTCAGCTGTGTCCCCCCTCCCCCTCCCATGTTTTAATAAACTGTGCAGCACAAAGACAATATTTAGGATTAAGCATTGCTCACTCTCTCCCTTACTGAATTCACATTCTCTGAACTTATCTCCTTTAGCACTGCTCACCTTCCACACACTTTTCTGTGACCTCTCATGGGTCAACATTCTGGTAGTATTGCCTATTGGTTTGATCTAATCTAAGGCATTTATAGTGTCGCTTAATGTAGAATCTAGGTGAAAAATGCAGGTGGAAGATAGGTACAAACAATTAATTTGACTCTACTTTTGCCCATCGAGCATTTGACTAATTCAATTTGACTTTTAGAGATTAATTTTTCCTGCATCTCCGAGATCTTGCATGTCTACTCCATGACAGGCAGTGCTAAAATCCAATGAGGTGTTTGAACTCAGGCCCTTTAATTTAAATGCGAGGCTGTAGGTATTTTCCACAAGGGGCTCTCACCTGTGGAATATGCTTCTCCCACCTTGCTTCTCCAGAGTTTGCTTTAGGGTTACTGAAAATTCAGAAGGACAGAACCTGGAATGCTTATGGATCAAAGTACTAACTGATAAATCACAAGATGGGGTACCAGTAGGGGTGTGCTACAGACACTATAGCAGAGAAGGGAACAGAATGAGCAGCTCTGTAAACAGTATAGACAGTAAAACAGTTCTATAAACAGTGCTCTTTTGAACATTATTTGAAAATATACCAATTAGATGATGTGCATCCTAGGATATTAGAGAACTCTATAAATACAATTACTGTACCCTGAATTATTTTTTCAGAATTAATGGAGAACTAGGAATGTACCAGAAAATTATGAAAACTAAATCTAGTGCCAATCTTCCTCAAAAATAAAACTAAAACATCCTACACTTAATATCATTTGCAAATCTCATTTTGATTCCCAATAAAACAATAAAACAAATATTGAAAGAGAAAAAATAACACAATGCTTAGAAGTCAAAGGAATGATAACTTTACTGGCAATAGAAGTTAGTCTCACTGGATTCAATTCCCTGCTGTTTCACACCCTGTGTTGTCATTTACACCTTTGCAAAAGAAGTGAAAAAATGCTATGAAGTCAGGATGGTAGCCTTTTACAACCCCTTGGCACAGCTGTAAATGACTTCAGCAAGATTTAAGGCAGGCTCATTGGAAAGCAATTTGCAGGTCGATTCATTCTTTTTGGAAGACTGATACCATTTATAAGATTACGTATTCACAGTATCACTGGTTTTTCCATTGTTAGACAATCAGATTCCTAAATGAGTATTTGGTATTCATATTCTAAAAATAACAAACAACAATTAAAGGGAAAGATCTGGCAGACTTTACTTATGCAAAACTTCATTTGTAGCCACATGTTTGTTTTAAACAAATAAGGTCTAAAGGCCTGGATATTAAAAAACTTATTTCTTTTGTTTATGCAGCCATATTTTGTATGAACTGAAGAATGAATACCAGCAGCCCAGCTATTAAAAATATTCCCGTATCAAAGAATACTTGATAAACACAATATTTCAGTAGTGGCATGCTACATTTTGATAAACCCCAGCCTCATTCAATGGGAATATCAGAGTGTCATTCATCTATTTCAGCCTGTCTTGCATGCACTGATTCTTTCCAATTCACAACCTTTGGATCCAGAGGACAGATGTTTTCTTATTAAAAATCAGGTAGACTTTTGCTGTATATAACAACTTCTCCACTCCCTACGCTAA